GCAGTATACAACCCCCCCCCCCTCCCCCGGCGACCCGAGACCAAACTAAGAACAGCAAGCTGCCCAAAAATCCCTCACTGCTTACGGTACTCGACGTCTACCACTGCCAGTAAACCTGTGCGTACGTAGTCCAGCGCCATCATCACCCGCACACAACAATATAACCGGCCGAAGCTAGGCTAGGCACGCATGAACGGGCGCACCACCATCCGATGGAAGCAATCTCGAGATCCGCGCCCCAAGTGCAGTGCTTCCTCCTGAAGCAGGCCGACGACCAAGCTATTCCACCGGCAGACACGTAACAGTACGATGCGTGAGAGGACGAGCACCTGCTTTTTTTCGTCGTGCTATCGTACAACTCGTGTGCGCGAGAAGTCCACAACCGGCCACACGGAGACGAGACACGACAACCCACACTTCTGACCCCCCCCCCACCGCCGTCATCACTTCCGTTGGCGCCGAGGATCACGCCGGGGGTCGGCCCGCCGGGGGTCTAGGGCACGCCGGGGGTCCCCCGACGGGCCGCCGGTGCCCCCTTGTCTGGACGACGGCGGCAGCCTTACACCGCTGCTGCCGCTAGTGGTGGTGGACGCTGCTTTCCTTTCCAGCTGTTCCAGGAGCCGGGGGTTCTCTTCGATAATCTACGGAAGAGAGACGCGGCAGGTGGGGGGGCGCTTCTTCCTTGGTTGGGTGCGTTCACTGCTTGATATATATTTCTAGCGTGGCCTTCAATGGTATGTATAGATCACGTAATTGTGGACGCTCTCAATGACTCGGTGCAAGTAGTGCTTTACATCGAAGTGGTCACAGTTATCAAATATCCTGTCTGTCTCCCTCACCCGCCTCTCTTGTGGTCATTCATCTCCTGGAACAGCGGGGGGCCGGGCCAGATATCCAATGCTGGAAAACAATCACAGGGGACGCTTCGCCAGACCATCTCCGCACACAACAGCTAGACCATAATCGAATACTCCCATGTTCCGTGCGGCCTCTCCAGCTGTAAGCCGGGGTTTTGTTTCCGTCGATTTCAGTGTGAGGTAGGCAGACTACTTCCTCTAGTCCCAACACAAACCACGCTCTCCTGGGCGTACGAACACGTCCCGGCCCACCAACCATGCGAGTTTACGTGATGAAACCAAACTCCATCACATCCCAAGTAACCAGCAGAGCGCGAGACCCACGTATCCCCCCCTTCCTCTTCGACAGCACCCACCCCTCCTCCCGACTCACCCTGGTGAACTCGGCCGGGTCCTTGGACGCCAGGTCCATCATCGCCCCTAGCGTCGCCGGCAACACCCTAGGCGCCCCTCCTCCCACCCGCGCCATGAGACCCGCCCCGAATGGCAGCGACTTCACGTCCCTCGCCCGCTTGCGACCGGCGACACCAGGGGCAGCTGCGGCAGCAGCAGCGGCAGCGGCAGCGGCAACCACGGCGGCGTGGGGGCCGGAGCCAGCGGCCCGCGCAGCGGGGCGGGCTTGGAAGCGAGGGGCGATTTCCCCACGGTCGGCGGCGGCTCCGGCTCCGGCGCCGCGGCCAGCGACGGCCTGCGCCGATAGGAAAGCCGGGCGGGGTCGCTTGAAGAGGCGGCCGGCGGTGGTGTCCACCGGTGCAAGGCCGTGGGCGGCCTTGACCTTGTCCAACACCGGCTTGTACTCGAACACCTGCGTGAGGAGGCGAGGGATCGAGAGAGAGAGAGAGAGAGAGAGAGAGAGAGAGAGAGAGAGAGAGAGGGAGAGAAGGCAGCACAGGGTTATGGGGGGGGCGTGTAAGCGGTGGCGGTGGTTGTGCTGGTGCGAGGGAAGTCAGGAAGGAACAGTAAAGACACTTCTCTTAGAGAGCGCTAACACACAAGCCAGACAGAGCACATGCAGAGTCTATTTCAAACATCTTGTTTTCAGAAACGATTGATTGTCAACCAGGAACAAAATAAACACGCTGCTGCCGATGTAGACGCAGGCATCAGGTATGTGCACATCCCACCTTCTCCAAATCGGCGGCTTCCGTGCGCCACAGCAGCGCCGCCGTCAGCCGCTCGTCCGACATCACGGCAGACAGACGCGCACGACCCATGGACGGACCCCGCTCCAGCCACGCCTCTCTGCCCTGTCGCAGCTCCTCCCATAGGCCCGCGCCTCCGCCGCCGGCGCCCTCTCCTTTACCTGCCTGCGCACGGCGGGAGGGAAAAAATCGTCATTCAATCGCGGCCCAGAGAGGGGGGCGTGGAGTCAAAAGCTAGAGAGAGGGGGTGCAAAAACAAGCACCTCGTGTGTAGTGTTTTCATCTTTTGGCTGAGGTTCTCGCACGTTGTACCGTAAGGGATACAAGGAAGCACACCCAGCTGGTAAGATTTTGGAGCTTAAAAAACTTACCATCGGGTGTGCTTTCCTGGAATGGGTGTCCTCTCTTGCGTCACCGGTGTGATAATGCGCACGTTGACGGACTCCGCTATCAGGGAATGTGATAAGCTGATCAAAAGGGGATGTGATGAAATAGCTTCCTGCTCCACGATTCCTTCAAGGGGTGTGATAAATGAAGGGGGTTGTGATAACACTCAGCCGACTCTGATGCGGGGTCCCCAACCGATATTGTGCGGGGCCTCGGCGGACGCTGTTGAGCGGGCTTTGGCAGCACATGCGGTGGTAGTTGCTAACGGAGTCTCATCGTTTGGCTTGGCCGCGGGTTGCTTCGAGAAAAATGATGTGATCGCCCGTGGAGGCGCCGGCGCAGACAGTCCTTGATGGCCCCGAGTGAGCAACGTCACTTTCAGCAGGGTGGTTTCAGGAGGGTTGTCTACCTCCTCCACCTCCGTATTGTCCTTGCTTGTGTGCCTACCAACTGTGTGCTTCTGTTCGTGTGTGCACGTCGGGCTGTGCACACCCGTGCCACCAGCCACCAGCAACCGGCCACCAGGCGTGATAATGGGGGACCCGTGTGGAGATGCGGCGAAACTGTAGGGGCTGTGTGCTATCTTGTGTCACCGGTGTGATGAATTGGCGTTTTTTTCAGAGTCCATCAAAAACATCACCGGGTGTGGTTTCCTGGAGAGGTGTTCGGAGTGTGCTATCTTCTGTGAGTGCTATCTTGTGGAACTTACGTTTATATGGGTGCTGGGATAGGGTGTGCTCTGCGAAATTGTGAAACTACGTGCGGCCTGTAGCCGGCAGCGTAAGCGAAGGACTAGACAACCAGGGGAGACATTCACAGCGGCATCGGTTCATTCATCACCTTTCTGCCTTAGAGGGGAACCAATGCGTCAGTCAGTCAGACGGACGGACGGACGGGCCGCTACAAATAAACGTGTGTGCATATGCCCCGGTGAAATTGTGAAAAGAGGGAATCGTTCTCGACAGAGGTTGGGGAGATTGTACCTTTAAGAAGGTGGTCTCCACGTTACCCCCCCCCTTTTCGAAAATGTTTCCTGTTTTCTAGGCAAGAGAGAGAAGTCTTCTTGGGATAAAAAGATGACCGCAACCCGACCGGCTGGCGGCGGCGGCGGGGCGATTCACTTTTCTTCACAATCGTCGATGCGTGATTACACGGGATCACAATCGCTACGTCCGCCACGTCATGAGATGTTCCGAGTTCGATAGCCAGTGAGTCCTTGTTGGCCCACCCACCGTTTTTCTTATTCCGTTGTCCGGAAGAAAATTTTGGGAGCAGCGGGTTTTGAACCCGTGTCTTTCGCCACCACAAACAGATGTTCTTAACATCTCTGTCGAATCATTGTGAAAAGGGGGAATCGTCCTCGACAGACTTCGGGTAAAATGTACCTTTATCAAGGTGGTCTCCACAAAATGAGGTACTTAATTCGAAATTCGCCTCGAGCGGCCACTGCTCCCCTCTGTCCACGCTTGACGACACACTCTGGCTTTGTCTCATGCTCACCGCGCCACCGCGCCGAGCAGTCTCAAGACCGCCCGCTTGCTCCAGACACTCCACACAGCCTTTTTACCTTGCTTCTCTCTCTAGACTACACGCAGCCTACCGCACCAAACGATCCTGCTCACACAGTTTGTTCCATCAGACAAGTCACACAACACAGACTACCCCAACCGAATACCGCCACAGCAAAACACAACGCGACCGGGCGGGGGTGTCAGCAACTGCTATGAAAGGGCACCTGCCACGTGGCGACGATCTTGCGAGACGTTGAGGCGAACCACCCCTCCACTGTCCCGGTCGGACCGCTGTTTTCCTCCTTTGCG